TTATTATTATTATTATTATTATTATTATTATTATTATTATTATTATTATTATTATTAATTATTATTATTATTATAGTTTACTGGATCTATTTTGACTTGCTGCCAAAGAATGCTTCAAATTTTATCTGTAGCAAAGCAGCTCGTAAAATTCTGTTTGGAATGAGAACTGTTAAAGTTGCTATCTCTCTTTCTCTTACTTTCCAGATCAATCTGGGAAGAACGTGGAAAAATAAACAGGCTGACAGCACTTTGGGGAAACCCCACTCTGAGCCTTTGGTGTTGGATGGGAAGCTTCCATTGCAACGTGATCTTAAACTGAACGAAACCAACTTGCTGGACTTCTCCTCTTCCTCCATTCAGATCCAAGTAACCAGCACCTGGTCCGGCCATGAGATGCTTGGCAGTGCTCCAAGTGTGGAAAGCCGCACCCCAGAATTCCTCCAGGAGTTGCATATGCCAGAATATTTTCCCCCAATTCAGATGTGAACTGGACTTGCTCAGGTTATTCTGCTTAAGCTAGCAGGCCAGAGCTAGCGTAAAGGGGGCTGCAAGTGAATAGACCCCTGTCAGTGGCATTTTTCAGAAGCCTTTTTCAATGGCGTTTTAGGCCTTCCGGCTTCCCTTCTTCTCACTGTCTGCTTCCACTGCTTTTGTTATGCCAGAGAGAGGGGAGTTATTACCAATTGCAACCCAATATTTGCCCCTCTTTCTTCACTTGGTCCTGAGTGAATGAACTCCTAGCCTTCGTGCCACTATGGTATCAGAGAGATGGGGTGTGCCCTTATAGACTACTCCCACTTGCGAAACCCACAAGAAATGTGGCAGGAAGCAATGGTGCCTCTGGAGTAATTTTTTGGGGAAATGTTTAAGATGCATGTTGGTGTTTCTGGTGGAGCTTAAGACCTCTGTGATGCATCAGATCCCACCAATCATCTCCCTCTAAGCACATTCCTCCATCATCACTCTGCTCCAGCAGGAGGTTAAGCAAGGTAATAATTTTAATGGTCTGCTCCTGGCCAGAAGAAGCTGCCGTCGCTGTTGTAAGATTTACAAATGGGCTGTATTTAGATTCTCCAGAAGGCCCCTTCTTCCCTACAGCAGACAGTCTGCATTCCTGGGTCCCTTGTCCAGGATGCACTATGGAACACCCTAAAATGCTGCTACTCCAAAATCTTTCCTCCTGCCCCTCCACACATCCTCAGAAATGTACTTGCCTTTTCCTGCAGACTGACCTCCTCTCTCACTGTTTGTGAGCAAGACTCTCTGGCATCTGAAATCATCCTTCTGTCAAGGTGAAAGTGGCGCCTTTCCAACTCCCTGGCATAACATTAGCATCTGGTGGATGCCACAAGCATCATAATAACATTACACAGGGGATGTGAAGTATGTAATATCTGCATATAGGTTGTGATGATGTCTTGATGCATAAGCATCACTGTGGCTTCTGCATATTATGTAATTCACATTGTTTCCATAATGTTGCTGATGCTCATAATGTCACTGACTTTCCCCATAGGTGTCCCATGTCTATCCTGGGGGGCATTTTCTGGTGTAGCATCATGGTATGAATTGCCCTATGTAAACCCATTTTGGAAAGCAGGGGTGAGGAACATCTATATGAGCCTCCCAGAAAATGCCCCCGGGAGCAAGTATCGCCTACCTGGCACCTTTAGACCCACAGAACTCTCAGGAAAAGAAAATGAGTAACCTAGTTGGCATTTAATGTTTTCATAGAGCAAAAATGAACTAAGTTTTTAAACTTGATTGAGAAACAGATGAATTGGATGTCCTTTTGACTTCAATGTGAGCCCACCTCAGGTGCATCAGAATCCCTTTGCGTCACCATTAGAAACAGAGGTCATAGGAAGGCGAACGAGAGCCTCACTTCTGAGAGCTGCCAATGAATGAGAAATACGTGAAAGGAGAGGTTGCAGGTCTTGTCTAGGTTGCAACTTGTTGAGGTCACTTACAATTCCTAGAGCACACTATGGGTGACAAAGTTGGATCTGAATTAGAATTTAGTTGCCCTTTGGTAGCCCTGCACCAAAGAAAATACCATTTGGCTGGTGGTCATTCTCTGGAGCCAAAAACTGCAGCCCATCACATGTGCAGGCTCTGAATGCTAACAGAAGAAACCAGTGTGACCTCTCTGTTCAAAGGGCTAATCTATATAAATAAAAATGTAAATGTTCGTTTGTTCAAAATCTTAAATCTCCGAAAGTTCTTCACCGATTGCTTTGAAATTTTGACACAACGTTGCATTCGAATACGCACGTGTTTTTATATACCTACTATTATATAGATGTCACATCTGTGACACAAACGTGCACTTTCTCTTTTCTTTCTTTTCCATTTAACCAGATTGAGCCACAGCAACGCGTGGCCAGGTACAGCTAGTAGCATAATATTACAGTGATCAACAGCTCTCACTTCTTTGTCTTGCCTCGTGATTATATCCTTTCTGAAGGAGTTCGGTGAAGCCTGGGCTTTGTTGGTCATCCAACTATGAAGATCCACCTCTGGCCATTACTTGAGCTTCACTCTGATGGAAAGAGTCAGCTTTCAGAGAGCTGAAGTGAGACAATTAGAGGGTCTCCCCGCCCCTATGTTTTCACATTCTTTTTCTTGCATGTGCTGTCAGATAATGTCCAACAAAGTTTGCAAACTTTTAAAGTATACTCAAATGTGAATAGTCTAGAACATTTGCAAGAACTTTAGATTCAGGTACATGCTTAGTTGAGGACTGGATATAGGGATTCCACCTTGAATAGAGCCTGGGGTAATCACTTTGTTTAGCTCTAACTGAGGGAGCTTCTGCTTTGAAAGGCAGAGCCAAACAACCAGCTACTTTTCTGTCCTGTCTTGTGATAAGCTGACCTTTTGGACTCTTGTTCCATAAAAGATCAGTTGGACATGTGAGAAGTAGGTCGAAGGGTTCTCCTGCTGTATTAATTTTCCTACAATCCCGAAGACTCTCCAAATTTGCACTTTTTTCCTCAAAGCTGAAAATAGCTTGGATGGTTTTGCTCTATAGTCTCTTCTCTGATGGATACGCCAGGTTTCAATTGTCAAGCTATGAACCTTTAGGACCGCTGCATGCTTCTAGCTTGCTAACACAGGCGGGGAGGAAGATGGGGCGAACTTTGAATCCATAGGTGTTCTTACCATTGTGAGACCCGAAGATTTGTTTTGATGAACTAAAGTGTCTTCTCTAATAATTACTGCAAGATGTATTGGATAATGTGACCTGAACTGTCAAGAGAGGAGAGGAGGAGATTCGTTCTATTAACTAACTGCTTCCCGCCACTTCTTCAGAGCTAGCTTTCACTTTGAACCTGTCCTAATGATTCTGTTCAATAAAGATCACATTAGAGTAATTAATGGCTCTGGTGTTTTTCTTAGTTGGGCTTTTCAGCTGGAGGTTGACATCAATATCAAAATGCAAAATGTTAGCAGAGGAAAGTGAGATGAGTGTCTGTGACCTATAAATGATCTCTCAAGATCTTGAAAGTAACACTGAATTTCTCTGTTTCCAAAGAGATTTTGAAGTCATAATACAAATGAAGGTTGCAATTCATTTGCACTGAAAAACACAAGTCTTGACATCTTGTTCAGAAGTTTGGTGATTTTTTTCCCCTCGTGATGTTCTCTTGAACTTTGTGTTCCTGGTTAATGTGACACAGGAGGGAAAAATATTGATTTTAAAAAGCACACATGAAGTTTTCCACCTTAACTGGACTTGGCAAATCTCTTGAAGATGGAGCTGATAACAGTAAATAAAATTTGAAGAGTATGACTGTTTTGTCTATTTTTCACAAATTATTGAAAAACAGCAAAATCCCTAAAACACTGGGATTTTGGAAAATACTAATATATACTTAGCCATAGTTTCTGAATTGTGTTTTTTTTTACTCCAGACACAAGCAACACATGCAGTGTGAGGTGTGGGTCTCTGGTTGAAAGGCAGGTGATAACCTTCATTCACCTCATCTCCAATCTGTAATGTCTCTCCTGGTAATTAGTTACAAGGAAAAATATGCTTGGAAAATATGTCACTGATAATAAATAGGGAGATCATTTCTTTTGTGTGGATCTGTCTGGGCCTTTGTGTTCACCTATCCCTTGGACAAAGAAGAGGGGATCTGTTTGGCAATGAGGAGAATGCAGAGGACTCTTCGGACTGACCCCTATTTGTTGGAAGTTTGGGTTGCTGCTTCCCTTTGCCATGATATTGCTGCTAATTACCACTGGGAGTCTCCCTTCACATTTTATGTTTTCAAAAGCATCCCAGATTTTTTGTAAGACTGTAAAATGCTTAGAAAAAAAGAGATTGTTAATGCAAGCAATGCATTGCACCTCAAAGGTATTTTGTTTCCCAATTGAATAGCAGGTTCCAAAGTTTTGTGATTGTCTTGAATATCTTGCATCCTATTTAGTTTTTAAATGTTGTAAGTCTAAAGCAGGGGTGTCAAACTGCCGGCCCACGGCCGGATGCATCATAGCAAAACCGGCAATGGGTCACGATACGTCATGTGACATTACGAGTTTGACACCCCTGATCTAAAGCATCCATTTCTTACATATGAATAAAGACTAGTACTTTTTGGCTGAATCAGTATCACTGGTCATTCTGGAGCATGTTCCCACAACAGGTTAAGCCTAACTTAGTGATAGCCATGATTATAAGACCCACTTGATACTCTGTAGGCCACCTAATAACTTACATGTTGCTTCAGTTTATCAAGTATCTTGGAAGCAGCTTGTCAAATGACATTACTGGCACTTTTTTTAAATAGTGAAAATTTTAGAAATCAAAACTCAGGTTGGCTCAAAGGGGCATCCCTTTGTTTCCATTTAGTCTTTTATGTTGTTTTGTGTGTGTGTGAAAACACCTGGGAGCTGTTGGAATGCAAATTTACAGTTGCTTCTTCCATATAAATAACAAGAAAAAAGCCAAGGAAACAGTTGGTCCACTTAAGCGGCCCGATCCAGGCCTTGGAGGCCTGGAAAATGCTTCTGCCACCTAGATCTAGGGCTGCAGAGCGATTTCACTTCCCCCCCCATGGGCGATCTGGGTGGCAGAAGCGTTTTCCAGGCCTTCGACAACCGGATTGGGCTGCTGGAGCGCATTAAAATCGCTCCACGGCCATGGATGCGAGCTCCAGAGGCTTCAAAAATGCTTCTGCCACCCAGAACGGCCATGGGGGGGGGGAGTGAAATTGCTCTTCAGCCCTAGATCTGGGTGGCAGAAGCATTTTTGAAGCCTCTGGAGCTCACATCCATGGCCGTGGGGCGATTTTATGGCACTCCAGAGGCCCGATCCGGGCGTTGGAGGCCTGGAAAATGCTTCTGCCGTCCAGATCTAGGGCTGCAGAGCAATTTCGCTGCCCCCCTATGGCTGGGCGCCGGAGGCCTGGAAAATGCGGTGGGTGGGTGGGTGGGAACGGTGGCAGTGTGATCTGTGTGGTGGGGGGGAACAGCAGCAGCAGTGTGATTCGCACGGGTGGGGGGACGATGGCACACGATACACATGGTGGGGGAATGGCGGCAGCGTGATCCGCGCGACTGTTGGGGGGAAAGGTGGTGGCGGCAGGGCGATCCGTGTGGCGGGTGGGGAATTTCATGCCCCCCCCATGGCTGATCCAGGTGACAGAGGCCTTTTCCAGGCCTCCAGAGCCCGGATTGGGCCTCTGGGGCATTGCAAAAATCACTCCGGAGGCTTACCTGGACTCGTGCTGGCAGCTGCCTCCACTATCCAGCCCGGATCTGCCCAGCTCTTGCAGTTGCTCCCTGGCTCTCAGTGCAGAGAGAAAGAGAGCTGAGAGCGCAGGCGCATGTGGAGAGGTGGAAGGGAGCAGTCTGACCCCGCCTCCCTCCAGGGCGATGGCGCGTGTGCCCACAGGGATGGCTCTGCCTGCCGCCTGTGGCATGCGTGCCATAGGTTCGCCACCATGGGTATAAGGTCGCCTGCTCAAGCAGGGGGTTGGACTAGAAGACCTCCAAGGTCCCTTCCACTTCTATTGTTCTATGTTCTGTGTTGTTCAAGAACAGTAATATTGATGTTGTCTTCTCTGAAGTTTTTCAAGGTTGTAAATAAATGCTTCCTATGCCATCCTCTGCTATTGGCAAATCTTAAAACCTGCTGGAAAAGGACAGGCTTGCAATTTTTGAGGAGGGTATGAAAAAGAGGTGCGGTGGGGGTTTCAGTCCATGGGCCCAGAATAATCTCATCTCATCTCATCATCTCATTTCATCTCATCTCATCTCAATTTTGTGCCACATTTATTGCAAGGCTCTGAACACCATAAATACCAATTTTTTAAATACAAAACCCAAACTGTAAAAACACAAATGTCAAAGACAAAGTCCATTAACTGCAATTCCTGCAATTCCTGCCAGTTCCTTCTCCAAAGGCCTGGTGTACTGAATGTCCTACGGAGGGCGGCCCAGGCATGGAGAGGCCTAGTGAGGCCTAGTGAAGCCCGGCCTGGTGGCCTAGCGGCCAGGAAGATCTGCGCCCCGACACGGCCAGGAAGATCTGCGGCCAGGATGATCTGTGGCCCGACGCGGCGGTGGCTCACCGGCCCGACGCAGCGGCGGCCTAGTGGCCCAGCGCGGTGACGGCTCGGCGGTCCGACCCGGGGCTGTGGCGATCTAGCGGCCTGACGCGATGGCGGCTTATTTCCCCCCTTTTATGGGGTTCAAAGACCTGGAATTTACCACCTTTCCTCAAACCATCTTGCCCTGTTTGAGATTGCCACCACAAGGACTTTCTCCCCTCCCCTACTTTGCTGATGGACCTCCGATACGACTGTGGACTGTATTCGAGGAGGGAACTGCTGGCCCTGCGCGACTCCCCCATCGCGCAGGCATGGCCCAATACCATTCTAAGGGTCGGCCTTGATGAAGGGGTCTGGAACCCCGAGAGGTGGCATTCAGCGACAGCACTGAGGGAACTAAGAAGAAAACTACGGGTCTTCTTAGAGGGGTGTTTTACTAAATTTTTAGGGGGTTCGGGGTTGGCCCGAGAGGAACTAGGGGAGTCCTCTCCGAGGCCAAGGCCAGTCCTGTCTGGGGGGCGCGGAGTGGTAAGGGAGGAGACTGGGGAGCTGGTGGAGGGTGGTGTGATAGGTACGGTCAGTGGGAGGGGCAGATATGGCGGGAGCAGAGGACCAT